ATTAAACAAAAGAGCGCAGTTTAAAATATATATGGGGGCGGCTGCGGTAGCGAAAAGGGATAAATCCGATTCGCGCTCGTCTCTCTCTATCTTATCACGAAACTGTTTAAAATTAAAAAAAAATGCATCGAACACTTTGTTGGGGGCGAAATTAATTTTCGTTTCGTCCGCTAATTAGATCGACGTTGCGCCACTGATAAGAGCGCAAATTCCCGGGGGAATATTTAAACAACTCTTTTGGGGTTGCCCTGCGGATCAGAATCCTCCGGAGGACCGACCACCAAGAAACGATGCGCGTGAAGAAGAAGTAGGATGATGAGAAAGTGTTAGCGGTTGAGTCCTTCGAGGTTTTGCGTCCTCCATGAGAAGCTCAAGGGATGCGGCAGAGAAACACATGTTGCTTTAAGCTTCTGCTCACTCTTCGTACTGTGCTGTAACGTGCGCGCGTGTTACATATTCAATTAAGCAAAAATCTATCAACTGGTCTAAAACCTAAAGCCCGGTAATCTTATGGCTGAGGGTGAGGGTGTAAAGGGGGAACGAAATGTGAGGATTATAGCGGCCGAAGATAGGAATGGGGGAGAGAGAAGTCCGGTAATTATACCGTGCCCATTGATGACTGCACATACGCCGTCGCCGCATGGGACCGTTATAATCCGATCTTATCTTCCTGCTATAAAACACCGACTACAAAAACCATCCCCTTCGATCCTGCCGCTGATGCACCCTCTTCGAAATCCCATTCATTCCCATTTCCGAGCGCAACAATAACAACAACAACAGAGCGACAAAGTCAATCCCGCAAACCTAAATAACAGCCGTACCAGTACGTCCGCCTCATTAAACACCATCAGAGTAAACCGCACGTAAACTATACAAATAATCTAAACTTAATCCTTAAATTTAACAAGAAACACAACAAGAATTCATTTCACAGCAATTTTTTGACCGCTCACATTATTTTTCAGTATAACTCAACCAATTATCAATCTATTTACATACATTTTACATCAAATTAAAGATAAAACTATAATTTACAAATTATATCTACGAAACAATTACGTGAATTAACCGGAAGTAAACTATAGTAAACTATACAAATAATCTAAACTTAATCCTTAAATTTAACAAGAAACACAACAAGAATTCATTTCACAGCAATTTTTTGACCGCTCACATTATTTTTCAGTGTAACTCAACCAATTATCAATCTATTTACGTACATTTTACATCAAATTAAAGATAAAACTATAATTTACAAATTATATTTACGAAACAATTACGTGAATTAACCGGAAGTAAACTATAGTAAACTATACAAATAATCTAAACTTAATCCTTAAATTAAACAAGAAACACAAATGAATTCTTTAGAACAATTTTTTGACCGCTCACATTATTTTTCAGTGTAACTCAACCAATTATCAACCTATTTACATACATTTTGTATCAAATTAAAGATAAAACTATAATTTACAAATTATCTCCACGAAACAATTACGTGAATTAACCGGAAGTAGTACGAAACATCAATTGAAACAACAAACATCTTTAATTGGAAGAATAAAATCAATTGTAGAAAACAGTCCAAAAAGTTGCATGTTTTCTTTTTTATGCTTATTTAATACAAATAGTTATTAATTAACAATGTTTTTTTTATTAAAAATTAAAGAAAAACGAAATTTCTCAAAATTTTTCTTAAGAAAATCTAAAGTTTACTCATTTTATTGTATTATAAACTTTGAATGGATAATTCACTCATTTCTATCAAGATTGCGTTGATGATATTTTGTTTTTCGCTTTTGTTTTGTATACGTCAATCGCATCTGTTTCCTCTTCGCGTCACGTGCTTATCCAAGAAGGCTATTTTAAAATAAACAATTTCTTCTAAAAAACAAAAAAAATATATCTAGACACGCACTATGCAATTAGTCTAATTGCGATTAATTAAGTCCCCGTACACTTATTACTTCTGCGTGTATTATAACATAAGAATCGTTTATTTGTATTTATTCATTTGTTTTTTTATAAACAAAGAAAAAGCGGATTTTTCGATTGCGTCGTTTGCTTTTCGATTCCCCGTACGCACACGAAAGCAAACAAAACACGACGAAAAAAAACAAAAAAAAAGAGGACGATCGTCGGGGGTGTAATTCAGTTGTTAAACAGTTGTTTCGGGCACGCAAACGCGATATCAACAAATTGTTGGTGATTTTTGTTGTTTCTTCATTGTTTGCTTAATCAATTTTTTTTGTTTCTTTTAATTGCAGGCTATAATGTACGAAGGACAGGACAAGAATCCGGAGATGTGCCGGGTGCTGCTGACCCACGAGATCATGTGCAGGTAAATGTTAAGAAAAATCTGATTTTATTTCGCAGTCATCTTTGAGCCCATTTTTTTTCTTTGCTTTCCTTCCTATTGCGCCCTTCCCTTCAACGTCTCTCCTGGGGGTGGGATCTCGTCTCTGGGGAGTCCGTGTCTTCTTCTTCGGCCCTCGCCGCAACAGACCCTTTTTTCCCCCACGGTTAACAAACATCGCCTCTCATTCGCCAATCTCGGTGCAGACGTTGCCTTTGTGCACTTTTCCTTCCTTCATTCTTTGTCCCCTTCATCTTATTCCCTCAACCCTCCTTCCTTCACGAAGTCGCATGTTCGCACTCCATAAAAATCCCCAGAAACGATCCAGAAATACTTTCTAATTTTGAACAAATTTCCCTCGAATTGTTTACCAAACAATCATTTCTAAATTTAAAATTTTCGTCAACATTCGAACAAACAGAAATACACACTAAAATAAACCGCAAATAAATTTCAACCTTTCCTACATTCCCAAAAACAATACAATTATTCATTCAGTTTTCACTAAATCAGTTCAAAAGAAATCAAATTGATGACATCGATTTGAATCTTCTAAATTATTCAATTGTTTCAAAGCGTACTTAGTTAAGTTGTTTAAATTATTTAAGTTAACATTAAACAATTGATTTCACGTATTTTGTTTTGTTTTTTTTGCAGTCGTTGCTGCGATACATTCGAACAAACAGAAATACACACTAAAACAGTCGAAAATAAACCGCAAATAAATTTCAACCTTTCCTACATTCCCAAAAACAATACAATTATTCATTCAGTTTTCACTAAATCAGTTCAAAAAGAAATCAAATTGATGACATCGATTTGAATATTCTAAATTATTCAATTGTTTCAAAGCGTACTTAGTTTAGTTGTTTAAATTATTTAAGTTAACATTATTTGACGTATTTTGTTTTTTTGCAGTCGTTGCTGCGATAAGAAGAGTTGCGGCAACAGAAACGAGACGCCTTCGGATCCGGTGATAATAGACAGGTGAGTGATGGAAATTGATGAAACAAGAAAAGCAAATATCTTCTAAGGTCGCTCAATAATTAGAGGAGAAGTGCGCGCTAAACGTTAAACAATGCATGCGATCGCGGTCGGCCATGGCGGTCTATCCTCGGGGTCGGAATGAGTGCGAGTGAGATATACAAATAGAATGTGTATGAGAAAGAGAGAGAGAGAGAGACAGAGTGAGATGAGTCCGTCGCAATTTTCCTTTTCCCCGAATTGTGTATTGCTGATAGCGTGGGGATAGCTACAAAATGGTGTCCCCAGGGGGATGAAAGATAGAGGGAGACGAGGAGATGCGGATCGCGCCCCGGAGCGAGCGAGACGGAATCGCGAAGCCCTTTTTTTCCCCCGCCATCCCGATAAGGGCGACGATAGAGATGGAGCGAGGCTATCGGATGAACGCGAGACGAAGATGGAATGATGGATGTTGGAGACGGGGGGACACTTCTTTGCGGACGGATATATGTAGTACCATGCAATTTGCTCTCTGTCTTTCTCTCTTCCTGTAACGGAAACAAGAGAAGAAGTAAATAAATAGAGAAAAGAAGGCGAAAAACCCTTTCGCGTTGTTTCTCAAATTATTGCATGGCATTATTAAGAATATGGTAAATGTTATATGTAAGAGAGAGATAGATAGATATACTTCAGCCCGAATGACTCCTGTCAATTCCGCTAAGAGATTACGTCTGTTCAATTGGATCTAAACAAGCGTGGGGATGTTCTTTATATTCCTCTGATCAAGTCATCTTTTGTCTTTTGTTTATCCCTCACGAAACAATTGCTACATATATATATATACACAAACATATGCATTTCTTAATTATTTTTTTTTGTGAGGGGGTGGCTGTGGATATTATTTTGTCGTTTTAGCTGTAGAGGGAGGCAAAATGAAATTACAGTTTTGTTACCATTAGCATGATGACGCCGAATTACTTCCGACTTGTGTCTGTGTGTCTGTGTGTATATATATATACGTAATCATTTGGGGGTTGAAGGGGGATGAACGTACGTACAACAAGTAACAAAACATATGCACGCGACCGAAGTAATCCCGGACACGTGGCCCACTTTGTCGGACCCCGCAAATTGGTCGCATTTTCGATCGAAAAACCCTCCCCCAACCAACCCCACAAATATTTGCCTAATACCTAATCACATTACCATCGCATCTTCTTTTATTTTCCTTTCAATTTTTTTTTCCTCATTTATGATTTTCAGTTACTTTCTTTTATCATTATTACCACTATTTTCTTGTTTTTTTTTCCTTTTCTGGGGAGAACAAGAATAAGAGATAACCGGAAACGGCGCCGTCCGTGGCCATCGCAACGGGCCGATTTATGCCCGCAACTTGTAACCATGACAACCCTACAAGACTCTCTATATCTATATATCTATATATATTCCTTCCTCGGCTTGAATTTCAAATGGCCTCCGACGCAGCCACCCCCGATCCTCTCTCTCTTTCACTCTCTCACAGCCACCCCAGCCGCCTTCGTCTCCTTACTACACTCTTTTTTTTTTGCTCCCCTCGTGGAGGAGGAAGACGAGGATGAAGAGAAGAGAAAAAAAAAGGAATGATTTATTGCCGGGCCTTCTTTCGCAAAGAAGGGAAGGAAAACTGCGAGTCGTGGGAGAAGATAGAGGCGAAAAAAAAATGCTTAAGGGGAGAGAGACACGAACTAAGAACAAGATATGTAACATATCTGTGTATATGCGCACTCAGAGAACATTAAAATCATTCACACTGTATCTCTACATTCATTCACTACTTTACTGATTGATACAATTTATGAAAATATTTCACTTCACAATTAACAAATTTCTTCAATGTTAAATTATTATTGTTAAGGAAATTGCTACAAATTTACTTAAAATTAATTAACTTTAACTATAATTTAAGTTAATAATAATGATGATACAATGAATTATGTGAACTTTATGATTATATAATTTTTTTTTTGCGCGAATTCGATTCCAGTTTCTTTGCTTGAAGATTCGGATTAATGAGCACGTCAAGTGCACGAGTTTTTCGCATGGAAAGAAGAAATAATGTGCAGCGAGAAGAAGCGCGTAAAAGTTTGAAGCGTCGCGACGCCCACTCACTTGTTGAAGGTGGATGGTGAATGGGAGGAGATGATGTGCAAATTCGAGACGGCGGGGTTTTGATTGGATTTTCCGCGGAATTTGGTCGACGGTTATGAACGTTCTCTTTGCGTGCACTTACTTACTTACTTTTTTTTTCTTTGGTCGCTCATTCTTTGCACACTCTCTTTGTCGCCGCGCGCGGTTCTCTTCGGTTCGGTTCTTTTTGCGGAGACAACTCACTTACATTCCTTAATCCCGAATGCGACAACGATAATGAATTATTAATAGGCAATTTCGCCGGAGCGATTCCTTTAATCGGCGACTTTATCGTCGGCGTATGTAGTATTAAACTTTAATTAAGTAACTGGTTTTCGCCGTATCGGTACGAACGTTTGTCTCTGTGTCCGGGAGAGCCGCCGCCGCTTCCACCGCCGTCGAAGATGATCATCATCATCATCATCATCACGATGATCAGAAGTTTCCAATCATCATCGTCATGCAATAACGACAACTAGAAATTCTTGGATTACTCCAAGAGCGAACGATAAAATTTGCACAAAAATTTTTGCCATTTGTCTTCGGGTGCTTTATGATACGATTGCTGCGCTATGCAAGCAAGTAAGCGCGTTAGATAAGAAGATAAATAATTGAAGAATAGAGAGAGAGAGAAGTGGAGAACGTGAGGTGAGGAGGCCGGATGCTTTCTCGATCTAGCAATAAAACTTGTGCCCAATGAGCCGAGAATAATCTTCGCCCATTCTCTTACATAATCCGCTTCTTCACTCGCTCGTAATTGAGTCGTACTTCTATATAAACTAAACTAAATGACGTATCATCGTCAACTGTAAGGGTGCGCCAAACACCCTTTTCCTTCCTTCTTTTCACCATCTCATTTGCAAATTGATTTGATTGATTCGATTGTATTCGTAAAAGTCTCTCCTCTGCATTCGGACGAGGATCGAGTTCGTGACCGGAATATGCATGCATTAATCCAATCAATTTCAAGTTAATGAACTTAAAAGGATCCCAAACTCCCCTTCTCACACACACACACGACACTTAAAACGGGGTGAGAGAAAGAGACGAAGGAAGGAAAAAAAGTGCGGAGAACGAGACTAATCACAAAAATGGGACGTGGCCCAACATATGGCGTTTAGTCATTTTGCCTTGTTGTTCGAGTTGTTTCATTCTATGTGTGTTTTTTTGTTGTTGTACGTACTACAGGTCTAATTAAGCGTAATAATTCAGTAGAAAAGTGGTCCAAAAAAAATAGGGGGCAGCAAAAATGCGTTTTCAAATTTAATGTAATTTGCTTAATTTCAATTGTTTCTTCAATATCGAACAAATCATTTCAATTGTTTTTTTTTATATCAATTCAATTGTTTTTCTTCATATGGAAACTTTGATACTTGCCTTAAAATAACTTTCAAATTTTTCATATTTCAATATTTGTTGCATATTGAAATATTGAAATTACGTTTATTTCTTCTTAACATACTTGATATTTTCTTAAAAACTAAACTAAATTTGTTGTCAATTGTTTTCGAGATGCGTCAATCGCTTAAACAAAAGATTGCACAACCTCCAATTAACAATTTATTACAAAAATAACGTTGATTAATTCATTTTTTTGTTTTCTTTAAACTCATTTCACTAATACTAAATCAATTTATTAAAAAAATACGTGACTTTCAACTATCATTTGTTTTTTCTTCTGTTGTTTTTACTTAATTCATAATAATGTCTATAGTCTAGAATTACTTCAAGTTATTTTTGTAATTTTGAAAATAATTGAAAATTCCTTCATTTTTGTACGTTTTTAATTACAATTAATCAATGTTATTTGTAAATCTGTTGAAATTTCAATTATTATATTATATTTAGTAAAATCTATCATTTGTTTCTTCTTCTATTGTTTTTACTTAATTCACATACTTGATAATTTCTTTAAAAAAATAATAATAATTTCTATAGTTTACAATTTCTTCAAGTTATTTTTAAACTTGTCTGATTTTGATAATAATTTCTTGAATTTTACGAAAATTCTTTCATTTTTTGCAAAGTTTTTAATTACAATTAATCAATGTTATTTGTAAATCTGTTGAAATTTCAATTATTACATTATTCTTAGTAAAATTACGCAACTGTCAACTATCATTTGTTTCTTCTTCTATTGTTTCTACGTAATTCGCCTACTTGATAATTTCGTTACAAAAAAAAACAATAATAATTTCTATAGTTCAGAATTTCTTCAAGTTATTTTTTTGTAATTGTCTGATTTTGATAATTTCTAATTACAATTTCGTAATATAATCTATCAAAATGTCATGCAAATTCCTTCATTTCTGCACGTTTTTCATTACAATTAATCAATGTTATTTGTAAATCTGTTGAAATTTCAATTATTATGTTATATTTAGTAAAATTACGCAACTGTCAACTATCATTTGTTTCTTCTTCTATTGTTTCTACTTAAATCACCTACTTCATAATTTCTATTTAAAAAAAAAAACAAAATAATGTCTATAGTTTACAATTTCTTCAAGTTATTTTTTGTAATTATCCGATTTTGATAATTTTACGAAAATTCCTTCATTTTTTGCACGTTTTTAATTACAATTAATCAATGTTATTTGTAAATTTGTTAAAATTTCAATTATTATATTATACTTAGTAAAATTACGCAACTGTCTTCTATCATTTGTTTTTTCTTCTATTGCTTTTACTTAATTCACCTACTTGATAATTTCTTAAAAAAAAACAATAATAATGTCTATAGTTTAGAATTACTTCAAGTTATCTTTAAACTTGTCTGATTTTGATAATAATTTCTTAAATTCTAATTACAATTTCTTAATTCTTTAATAACGTCTTGAAACTTTTTTTTTTTGCAA